AGCGATGCCAGGAGCCCCTAGTAGCGATGCCCTTGCTCCTAGTAGCGATGCCCTTTGCTCCTAGTCGCTTCCTTGCTCCTAGGCTTTGTCCTAAATTCCCTCTTGTTAATGTTTTATAATCTATAATGTTCTATACGCATTTTCTTGTTTCTTTTCGTTCATCCATGCGACCTTGTTGTTTTTCATTCTTTGCCTTTACTACGACATCGTTTCGCCATCTTTTTCAGGCCTTGTAGATCAGATGAACTTCAGCCCACGGATGAAAGGCTTTAGGTTCGGGTGGGGCTCCGATGAAGCACCGTTTGGACCGTCCTTGGCCGCCAAGGTCACTGCCTTCGCGGCCTCTCTGCCCGGCATGACGCGGAATTTGGGATATGTGGCGTCCACGAGGTGCCGGGGGGGGTGGTGATCGGTCCCATTGAAACCAACCTACTAGCGATGGCCTTCTTCCGTACTGTAGCGTCCGATCGCTCCGTTCGTAGCGATGCCAGCAGCCCCGTTGGTAGCTTCTTGTTCCTAGTAGTAAGGCCAGGAGCCCTGAACGTAGCGTCCTTGCTCCTAATAGCGATGGCCTCCACCCTAATAGGAATGGCCTCCAACCGTCGTATTTGGTCCAAGATTCGAACTTGTCACCTGGCGGCGCGTGGAACACCGAAGTTGAAGCGCTCCCGTAGGATCAAAAGCGCCGCTGAACGCTCCCGTAGCGTCTTGTTACGTTCGTAGTAAGAATGTTCCGTTCGTAGCGATGCCCTTTGCTACTAGTAGCGATGCCAGGAGCCCCTAGTAGCTTTATTGTACAAGTCTTTCCACCTTCTCGCCAGGACTTCTATCACACTCATGTGGCAACCTCCGGCAGACTCTGGCGGGGACACTGCCTCAAAGCCCAAAGAGGCGTTGTGTCCTGCTGATCCATTTTCCATGTGATTTTCAATTGGTGAGCCACTCAGGCCTTGGTGGATTTTTATCGAGTCCAAGCAGATGATGGCCTTGGTGGTGCCTTTCAAGATGTTGCGGTGGTTGCTGGCACTTACACCACAGTGGAGTCTGGACCCTCAGTCTATGTCTAATCCTCACAGACGTTGTTTTAACCAGCAAATCCTCCATATTGTGAACAAAACACTCATCCAACCTTACTAGTAGTAACAAGAAGCTATTAGAAACAAGTGCCACGCTACTAGTAACAAGTGCCTTACTAGTAGTAACAATGTTAACAGTCAGTGCCTGTTCACCGCTACCGCTTTTCGTCTTTTCGTCTCGGTTCCCACCTTCGGTTGCTTCGTTGGTTGCTTCGTTTGCTTTGCGACTCAGGTATTTGACCAAGGGGCGACCCTATCGATTTCGGGTGGCTGCAGAGACGGTGGTCGGCACTGGACCTTACACGTCCGTCTTCCAGCAGGCACTACTTGAAACAGATGCGCCCTTACTGCTAGACTTTTCTTATGATAGTGTAAGTGAAAGAAGGGATGTTACAAGGTGTTTTGGTTGCATTCCTAGTCGAATGGAGATGAGCGTGGACCAGGACTATCAGGTCAAGAAACTGCAAAACAAAGCCTACTGCAAAAGGGGATGGCCGTCATCGCACATGGCGGGATCAGGGTTTTAAACAGCATTGTATATGTCAGCATCGATGTCACCCGTGTTGCCAGGTGGTAGCAGCAGTACCTGGGAATCCCCAAACACCTTTGGTCCGAATCTCGGTGAGAGTGAGGAGAAACACAGTTTTCAACCCAATTCTCGGAAACACATGTCGAATTCTACAGAATCCACCCGTTCTCGTAGGGAGTGGTCGAAAAGCCGGCCATGGCCGGGGCCATGAGTTTGACCGTTCCCTCAGGTGGAGACCGTTCCTGGATACATGGACCGGTCGCGGTGGGGCGAACGGCCGAGCCTGAGCTACTCAAGTAGCGTCTGTTTCTTTTGAGGAGGAATTTGGCACAACATGTGAATCTTCCCTAAACAGGAACCAAACCATTAGTCCATTAGTGCACGCTTGAGCTATCCTGCGTCCAATAGGAGCTTACTCCTTTTGTTATTTTATACAATTAAGTAGGCGTCCACTCAATTAAGTAAGGAGCCAGGGCCACGGGCTAAAAGGAATATATATTTGACTAAGAATGAACGTCCAAGTGACCTGCAGGACCGCGTCCAAGTGACCTGGAACGAGCCCTCGGACAATGGAGGATCACTGACGCCGCTCATCTGCACGGCAGTGACGCCGATCATTGGGCCTAGCGCCATTACAAGAAGAACTAACTAACCTAAGAGCGGCCTCCAACCTACTTAGCCATGGCCTCCAACCTACTTAGCGGGCACATACAAGGTGTCTGCTTGTGGGTTTAGAAGATGGCTTTTTGGAACACTTTGCCTTCGAGTGTTCGTTAAGGTCTCTTTTTGGGTCTCCGATTCGGCCTTAAGGTCCTTACCGACGCGACGCGACGTTGGAGCTCAGGCTGGGTTACAAGGTGACCTTTGATGGCCAGTGCGATCGATATGATGGCACCAGTGTCTCCGCTCTGACATCGGCCGGCATCCCATGGGGTGTCTGGTGTCCGTTTGAAGGCTTCGTAAGAACTGCAGTCGAGATGATTTGCTGAGGTCCAAATTATTTGCTCTACTGGCCGGTCGAGTTCTTAAACCAATGCAACACATCACATCTGTGTCGAAAGAACAATGAAACAAACACATCACATCCCGAGAGTCGGATGGAGGTGAAACACATCAAGTCTTTTCTTTCGAGTCGCGCGAGATCGCCAGACACAACTCTTCAGAGTCTCGTCTTCGGTAAGGGGCGTCCTTGGCTTCCTGAGGCATCACCTCATCACTGTATCTGCGAGAAACATTGTGGGTCCGAGCACGCAGAGCTTTGGGGTTGACTTGTTTCAGTCACGTGTTTGGCTCAACAGAACATCAGCGAAGCCCCTGTGTCGTGTCACACCAAATCTCCAAACCTGGAGGAAAAATCTAAAGTTGTGACATGCTGTGACACCTGAGCTTTCTTCTAATCGCGTCCGATCGCTCCGTTCGAGTCGCGATGCCCAGCTCCGTTCGTCCCAGGTTGGGGTGGCCCGAGCCCATCGGTCTCTCGAGTCTGTGGCGCCGAGCCCTCCGTTTCAGCGCCCAGAAGCCCTGACGTGTCGAAGCAAGGGACTGTGAAGCCTTCTGTGAACTGTGACCAGCCTCCAACCTAGCGATCCTCATAACTGAGGATTATCCAAGAGTTCACAGAGTTGATGCGTTGCTGCGACTTTGGACTACAAAGAGTTGATTTTGTGATGCAAGGCACCAGTGGATTTGCGGCTGAAGATGAGCTCCCCATCAACGTCAGGGCCTTTGGATCAAAGGCCGCAGAATCCACCAAGACTGTGAACATCCCTATTAGGGTGGAGGCCATCGTTTGGGTTCATCATTGGTGCGGAGAACACTTGGGCCCCCCTGAAGAAAATGACACACAAATCGAGAGGCAAGGCATCGCAGATCTTAAGATCGCTGAAGGAGCTGGAGAAGATCCATATTCCCCGGGAGTTTCCGAACCACTAAGTGAGATAGTAGTGGTAGTGGAAATATAACTGCTGAAGGCAATAGTAGAATAGTAGTGACATTTGAAATTGTTAATGCATCAACAATAAGAGATAGTTTCACCTTGCAGCATATACGTTTAGTGTTGCTGTCGAAACGGAGCCCTACTTCACTGCAGCTTTCGCGCGGACAAAGACACATAGAGAAACAAACAGTTCTTAGAAGGCTTCTTGAAGGTCTTGGATTTGGAAGTAGGTTAGAGGCCATCGCTAGTAGGTTGGAGGCCATCGCTACTAGGGTGTCTTTAAGGTCTTGCATTTGAAAGGCTGTGCCTGAATGAATTGTCGACCAGATTCTGGTTCTCAAGGCCTTTGGATATGGTGGATCAGCGAACCCCTAGCTCAATGACATTGACATGGGATGTGCCTCGGCTTTGCCAAAGGTTTCTTTGGCCTTGGCCAGGTCTGGTCTGAGCAAAACCGCTTCTGACGATCGCTTTTCACAATGATTTGACCTGAGAGGAACCGACGCTGAATGGTGGAGCAGAGGTGAAGTCCTACCAGCTTTACCGTGATGTAGACTTCTCAGAGCAACTGTGGCACTTGTCCAACTTGGAAGCCACATGGACTCCAGACAAGAAGTGTATGTTGAACGTGGCGTTCCATAGCTTGGGATGCTTGAGGCAGGTGATGCATCGGGCATCTACACTTTGACTTATGCAAGGAGCTCAGTGTAAGCTGAGCAAAGACTTGTCGCGCGTCTAGACGGTGGTCGGAACTTACGACAGGCCCTGGGATGGGTTGGTTTATGATGCGTGGGTTGGTTTGTCTTTACAGTTTTCTTGCTTTCCATTTGATCTGAAACACCTCAGACATAGGCTGAACTGGCCAGTCTACTATTCCATGATTTGTGGGTTGAAAGTATGACTTCTGTTCCTGTACAACACACAAACCCCAGTGCAGTCCGGGCCCAATTCACCCAGGAGCCATAAGCAATGTCCAGCCGTGCTCCCCAAAAAGATGCACAGGGATCCGCACCATCCCGGACAACAGCCGTCCGGTGTGGCAGTGCGGCCGTGTGTCCACAGAACCCCCAAAAAGACGACGAGCAACAAATCTGCAGTTCGCCAATTTCGTCAAGAGGTTTCCAAGTCAAAAAGTGTTACTACTAGCTTCTTGTTTCTAATCACAAAGGCAACTACTAACATCCTTTTCATATCTTTTCACGGAACAATCAGAAACGTTTCATCTACTTAAATGACCCTCGTAGCAATCCAGAGGAACGCGAATTTTCAGCAAACACCCACTGGTCACTGCTGGCCACCCTTAGCGTTGGATGCGAAAACTCGATGCTGGTGATTTGCTGTGCACGCATCTACATCGCCTTCACCACGCATTATGCCACGCATCTACATCTAAACTCACGCCTTGAAACGCGAGTTTCCGGTGTTTCCCAGGTGGGAACCTCCCGCAGCGCCAGCATCAGCTCCTTGACCAACGGCCGCACCTACCGCTTCTACGCCGTGGCCGTGAACGACGTGGGCGCCGGCGAGCGCACGGCCGTCTTCGCGGCCGAGATGCGCTGCACGCCGCGCACGTTGGTGGCGGCGCCCTACAAGGACGCGACCGGTCGGATGTGGGTTGTAGAGCATGTGGAGCTGAGAGGAAACACGAAAGAGGAGACTGAGAAAAGGAAAAAGGAATAGAATAGCCATGAGTTCTCATGAGAGCTAATTGTTTGTTTGCAGGTCTCCGGTAGCCCATGGTCCATCTCACTGGCATGGCCTGAGACTGCGGACAACTGCGGGCGTGCAGTGTGTGGGGTCTCAGAGCCGCGAGACGCCGGAGGCGGTGCACTGATTGTCACTGATTTGTAAATTTGGGACCCAACTACTCCAACCTAACAGCGATGGCCTCCAACCTGAGTGCGATGGCCTCGA